CCTGAAAATGAAAGGAAGTAATTAATACACATTTTCACTTTCCTTTGAGAGGTAGCCCTCAGTGTCATCATAGGATATATTCATGGAATTAGTGTTTTAAAAACCATTTATTCAAACATATAAGTGCCTGCTATGGGCCAGGTACCAACCTAGGTTCTAGGGGAAAAAGCAAACTAAGACACATGTGATAATAGGTAGTTTAAAGACTAAGAATATATTTTATAAACTTCAAATGAGAAAGCTGCATATAGCTAAGTATAAAGATTTCAACAGTATAGGAAAGTCCATCAATAAGCAATAATAGAAAATTCAACATGAGAGTGTGACACCAATATTGTACAAAGTTAACTTCATTAAGATTCCGACCTTCTCTAAGACGGTTTGAAAAAGGGATGTTTTTCTACTTAACTAGTAATGAACTTGGAGGAAAATTTGGAAAACAGATAAGTTGTAAGTAGCAAATAAGAATCATTTACCCATTATCCTATAACCCAGAAGTAAATACCACATTTTAAAAAATATATATTTTTATTGATTTCAGAGAGAAAGGGAGAGGGAGAGAGAGACAGAAACATCAATGATAAGAGAGACTCATTGATCGGCTGCTTACTGCACGCCCCCTACTGAGATCGAGCATGCAAAAGGGAATCGAACCTGTGACCCTTCAGTCCACAGGCCAATGCTCTATCCACTGAGCCAAATTGGCTAGGGCAATACCACATTTTGACATATCTGTTAGAATGCTAAGGCACGTTATTGTTTCATGTACTCCACACTCTATGGATATATCTGGGGAGTTTCTGACAAAAATTTACAAGGTGGGTCATGGGAACTGAGGCAGGCATGTCTCGTGTTGCTCTTCCCTGCCGCCCCCCTCCAGGAATTTTTCCTGGAGTGAATGAACATAGGCATTTGAGGTCAAGATGCTCTGCCTTATGATCTTACCCCTCAACACATTATCATACAACATTCAGATGCACCACATTGGCTTCACTCCTCTGCATGTGGATACTGTACTTCATTTCAAAATACTAGTCTGTGGGACTCCCCGCCTTTAGGAGGAAGGTATGGGTACTCATCCCAGAGGGTTTGTCTACCACTGGGACTATGTCAAAAGAGCAGAAGTGTTTTGACTCCTTTTTATCACCTCCCTTGGAAGACCAAATGACTGGCAGTGCTGAGATCGAATTAAAACTTATCTTAGTGGCTTCTATTTGCAGGTCTCTCTCTGTTCCTCAGTAGTAACAACAGTGTTACTATTTTGGATAAAGATTTATCACAGGACTTTCACAAGCACTAAGTGTTTTTACTTGTAATTTGCAGACTTTGTCTTTTAAGAATGGTCCATGCTTTTCTAAGTCCATGTTTCCTGAGTGAGGAAAAAATCAATACTCATAAGCCACGTTGTTAGGGGATTTCAGGCCAACAAAGGGGAGTATAGACAAGGGTCTTCTAGAACAGTGAGGGTTGTTGGCAGAAATTGTTAGTATGCACTCAGCACATGAAAGACCAAAATCAATCATCCTCTGTGACAGATGCACTAAAAGTGACCCTCTCCTTTAATGTGTTCATCCTGCCTAGGGTTGTAGAGGGTGGTGATAGCATTGTGTACAACTGAGCATTATGTGGAAGTAGAGGGTGTGGTTATATGTGTATGAAATTGGCAATGGAAAATGCTAATGAGCAAATACTGTAGTATTTTTTAAGATTGCTTTTTTTTCACACCCCAGGGAACGTTTTGTTTGTTTGTTTTTTTAATTTACTTATGGAAATATATAGTAGAGGTGGTCACCTAAATTTTACAGAACTCAAAATACTGGTTTAACAAAACTGGAAGGGACAAAATATCACATCATAGTGGTATTCAAGTTGTCCTTTCAAAGTCCCACCTTCCTCTTCATTCTGGGGATGATGGGTGGTGATATAGAACCTGAAATGACAGATCCTATACCTTCTGAAATACCTCATTTTTTTGGTCTGAGAATTTCTCTAGGGTCAATGTTTTCTTAAGATCAGCATCTCAAACTGCCAGAGAAGGATGCTGAGCATACATCACTGGATTCTAAGACTGAGTAGACCTATCTTTACTATGATGTAGAGCAGCGGTTCTCAACCTGTGGGTCGCGACGCCTTTGGCAGTCGAACGACCCTTTCACAGGGGTCACCTAAGACCATCCTGCATATCAGATATTTACATTACAATTCATAACAGTAGCAACATTACAGTTATGAAGTAGCAACGAAAATAATTTTATGGTTGGGGGTCACCACAACATGAGGAACTGTATTTAAAGGTCCAGAAGGTTGAGAACCACTGATGTAGAGGATTTAAGTAGAGAATTATAGGAACATACCCGTTTAAACTTCCCAGAGACCTTGTTCTCAAGTCTGCTACAGTTGGTACTGATTTGATAGGAAATGCTTTTAATTGTTTTTCCACTTTGAAGAACTGGATGAGATTCTGCCAATGTGATGACACATATTCTACAAGGAGCAAAAATTGGTCCTGTATTACTGCTTGGTATAATTTTTCCTCACATAGCACAGTATTCCTCCTGACAAAAGAATATCTGAACTGACATTTGTTTAGTCAAACTATCATTTTCCTCTGGTTACTGTAGAAGGGAATGCAATAATAAAATAGGAGACAATGGGATTTTGTATACTTCCCAGAGAAGAGAAGAGTACCAGGTCTTCAGGTAGCACTGAGGTAGAAGAAGAGAGTAGTCAGGAATGCCAATATATACAGGACACCACCTAGACCTCTACCCTAGCCTTCTCTATGGGCTCTGGCAATTCAATGGTTAAGCAAAGGCTGGTTACATCAGGCAGTAGTAGCTGACTGAGGGCATGGTGGTCCATTTGGATGTTTGGATAATCACATTTGTTTAATGTGAGTAGGCACTGAAAGGCTCATTCTTGTCAACCTAACTCCTATCATAAATAATACTATTTCAACACAGTGAAAAATAATCATTTATTGAACATTAGTTCAATCCAACACCATACCAGGCAAAAAATTTTTTTTTAATTTAAAATTCCCAATTTGCTTACCGATTAGAGTGCTGTAGTATACAGTGGTCCTCACAGGGTTTTCCTTTGACATCTAGAAGAATGAACAGGTCAGGAGGTTGTGGAGTCAATAATTACTACTTACTGTATAGCACTTTCTTTGGTTCATAGAGATAATAAATTATGAAGATTGTACACATTCCAATCACTTGTATCCTTTCATTACTCGAAAAGATATACCTAAAAGGCTTGCTATAAAGTAAAGAGATGTGGCCTGGATGGAATCATTCATTCATCATTAAAGTGATTACCCTTTGCTCCATCTTGCTTTAAAATAAGTACACATTATTTCTATTAGAAAAATGCAACTAGCAATGCATTCTTTATATAATACAGTGTGTATGTTTTAGAGGGACCAACTCCTGGTTTGCCTAGGACTGTCCTGATGTTAACGCTGAATGTCTCGGATTCCGGAAAAACCTTCAGTCATTGGTAAACAAGGACAGTTAGTCATCTAAAATGTGGCTAATAATACCTATGCTACAATATTTTTTAAAATGAGTACACCTGTTATCCCTGAATGCAATGGAGCAAGTATGGGGTTAGAAGAAGGTCCCCAGCGATGTTTCCACCACTGATATTCACTGCCTACACAAACAACGGAACACCCAATTATTAAGTGGCAGATGTATAGAATACCAGCGGCTTCTCTTTCAGTAACACTGTTGGATTCTGGCTTGCTATCCCTTCCCCCACAGGCCTGATCTAAACTCTAAGGGACCTCAGGAGACTTGCACCCAGGGGAGCAATGGGCAGTGGCAGCTCATCCCCAGCTAACCCCTGGACCTGCTCCCAAGGGCCTCGTTTCTCTGGTCCAGTGAGCTGACAGCACACGCCTAGGCTCACTTCTCTCCGGTAAGGTTTCTAGGGAGTCAAAGCAGCCCCGCCTATTCTCTCTCCTGTTGCTTTTATCCTAAGCCCTTCTTTGTTTCCCTGTCCCCAACTTTAATAAACCTACTCTAAAAAAAAAAAGAGCAATACACAAAAGCACACACAAGATGTTAGATTCTGTTTTCTAAATGCCTCTAGTCTAACCCACCTTCTCCCCATCTCCACAGTCTCTACCTTAGTTCCGACCAAATCATGTAAGCCATTTTCTGCATGGTCACTCCCTATAGGATTTGCAAAGCCCTTGGGCACTCCAGGAGACTGCCGTCCATCCCCTGCCTACCTGGGCGCCTCACCTTAAACCATCTTCCCGCCAGCAACCTACCCAGGAATTCGCGCAGCGCTCGCCAGCCCCAGAATGCGCTCTGCTGGCATTTTAGCCTTTGCAAATACCCATTCCCTCCTGTTTAAAAAAAGCAATACACAAAACACACACACACAATTGTTAGATTCCTTCCATCGTGGGGCTGAAGCGCCGGAGAGAGCGCGCGCGGCTTCTGATGTGGCACCGTCGTCCCTATTGCATCAGGCCAATATGGCCCCGAAAACCGACATTATTCCCCACTTACCCGCTTTGTACCAGCGAGTGAAGTAACGATCCACAAGTGACGGCGCCGCGGACTCCACGGCCACCGGCTCGGTAGCCATGGCGACCTCGGGCGCCGCTCCCTCCGCCCTCCTCCGCCCACCGACTCCAGCCATTGGGCTTGGGGTTGACGTCAACGTGGGGATCAACTACAATAGCATTTCTCTGTCTTTCTGGGGCCGCCTGCGGAAAAAGCCGGTCACGCCCCTTCGGCCGAGTGACGTCTTTCCCGCGCCACTCTGCCCGTGTCGGGCCTGCTTCGCTTGCAAGTCGTTGTCCCATCCGCTGCCTCTGCGCCGGCT